ATGAAATGATATGATATTTTAACGACCTGGTGCTGCATCATTTGAATGTTCCGCGTGGGCGCTTCGCGCGGCAATTGAGTTTACACGTGGCAACCCGCTTGACATTGCTCTGATTAAATTACTTTGGCGACGACATGCTCAAAGCTTAACAACTATTTTTAATACCGTCATATAAAGAATTAAATTCTGCACCAAAATATGGACTAGCAAATGATGATTTATGACTCCATGGCACACGGCGTACGCGCAAACACAAAATATTACTCCTGAGACAACACTGCGGTAAACACACTAGTTCAATATCCTGCCACCAGGGTCGGCCGAGGCGCCACTAGTAGTCATGTCCGCTTATGGAACGTAACGTGGTCTGTTTAATATGCGGTCCAGTCTGTACGTTGTCACTGAGAGTTGTGACACACAATGGATGTTATCTGGATTGGCTCGTGCTCGTCCCGGCTGCCCAATCCTCTTCGCGTTTCTGATCAAAGGCTACAGCGGCGTGGCCACACCTGCGTTGCAGCTGACTACACTGTACGGTGCAGAGACACAAGTGTGCCACTCCCTGTTCGTCTCACCCTTCGCAGCTGTGCAAGCTTTCTCACGCGCTTTGGATTACATTGAAACTACGCTCAACGCCGTGCGCCGGTGCGTCAGGGACCCCGGATAGTGTGGGGAGTTTATATGCTGGCAGGTTATGTGAAATTAATGCTAATGCTAATAAAGATACGTCCCCAAGTTTCGGAGCGATTTCCAGTGCATTTTGTTTCTCATTTTGGTGGCTTGGAAAACAGAAAAACAGGGGGCGTAAATATGACCCATGAAAATAATGCTGATGCACACATGACCAGGCTCCTAAATAAACGACCCAAATCCATAACACCAAATAATACCACAGACTTCCGGCTCCAGAACGGCAGCTTTGCGGTGCTGGCGAGTAACGGAGGCCGCACAGAAAATATCATGCGATCTCGAGGGGAAGAGAATGAATGACGGGCACCACGATGGCGATTTTCGGTACCGTGCATTGTTGCACGTGCACAGGGTCGCAGCCAGGATTTTCTTAGGGAGGGGAGAGGCTCGGTGAGACAATCTTCATTTTAACACAATTTCAATTCAAACATTACAGCAATTGTTGGCTTCCTGTCTGGAGCCATCTATAGAAAAATCGGCTTACGGGGGCCCGGTCACCGCACCTCCCCACTCAGCCGCCTATGCACGGTCGAGCCCTTAACGCATTCGGCTGTTGGGAGGTGAAAGCCCGGCTGATTTATTATTTTTAGTGACATTTAGGATGTGGAAGCCCAGCCGACACTTTTAGTGATAGCATCAGCTGCACCGATTTGAAGCATTTTCTGGAGTCACGTGTCTTGGTTTTTATACCTATCTTTTTTAACCTTGTTTACTCGGGACCATGAGAATGATCTTGGAAACGTCTAGTTTTATCGATTTAGCCAATGCTTCCTGGATAACATCACTTAACCAGTATCTCTTGGTGTTTTGAAGGTAATTATTTTCAGAACAAGATCTCTCAAATCACAATGCGTAAATTCCAGGAGTTCAAAGCCTCTCTTGTTTAACTATATCTAGGTTATCACTGTGGAAAGGAAGTTCGCCATCAGCAGTTCCAAGATTCCAACACCGGCGTCACCATTCGAGAATCGAGATACCTCCTGTCCCGACTCAACAGCTGCGTAGGCCGCGATGGCAGGGCGTCTCCGTTTGTACAGATGCACGATGAGCCCCGTAGACGGGGGGAGGGGAGGCCACAGGTGGGGCGGCTCAGCCGTCCGACGGGCGTGGTCGAACCGCGCGGTCTGCCAGGCGGACAAATAGCGCAGGACTGCCGCCGCCGCCGCCGCCGCCGCCGACCGGTGAGCTGGTCGCTGAAGGTGGCTTCATGAGAGCTGATGCCACTGACGTCACTGGACCAGAACTGATGTTACTGGTGTCACTGACGGCACTAGCAAAGCCAATGCCAAGACGTAACGGACGACGGTGGGGAGTTTGACTGACTTGGCTGTTTATGGCACCGAATGTTACTGACGCGCTACATTTCGGTATTGTATTTCGGATGCATGATATCCGTTTTTAAAGTGAATATTTCGCAAGTATAACTACAGCGGGAAGATATTTCGGCTTACAATTTTGTGCACGTAAGTAATGAATACCACACATAAAAGCCTGTAAGAGAATGTATGTAAACACCTGTATTCAGCAGACACGTAGATAAGCATCAATCCCCGCATTAACAATAGGGAAGTCACATTGATAAAAACAAATTGAGGAAACACGCTTACATTTGGGGCCAACAGTCTAAAAAAGACATTGGAAATCTCGATCAGTGGATTTTTATGAGGTGTGTGCTTTATGAAAACGCTTATCGCCGAGATTCTGCTTGCCGCAGACGAGCAGCGCGAGGGTGTCTTGTCTCTCCCTTCTAATTTGTTCTACGAGAAATAAAGCTATTACTGCTGTCTTACCTATGTGCATGTTCCTAATGTGTTACCTAATGTTACCTAATATGTTACCTAATGTTCCTCGCGAATGCATTTAACAACTCACGGAATGTTCCACATTTGAAGATATTCACATAAACATCAAATATGATGAGATGAGTTCATTCATAGGTATTGGTACTTTTAGCGCAAAAAGCTGCTCAATTTGCAACAAAAGATAGCACAATTTCTCTGTTTAATAAATATGTTCATCAATACGCGATTGTTTGATTGTGTTATGGAACGTTTTCATTACGCTAGGTGCTGTCAAACTAGCCTTGCGAAATCGCCGCTCAAACACTCACTTGGAGTGTTTTAAATTCCCGAGAGGTGGCCGTGGCGTTGCTGAACTGAATATCGTTATGTACCGGTAAGTTTGGGTCTTTCTGTCGTGTTCTTGCTTATCTCTTTTGCTTGTTATTTTGTAAGTATAGGGTGCTTACTTGCATTCGCATGTAACTCGGTTATGGCGCTTTTCTTAAGTTATTCGATTACAAGTCTTATTTTCGTAATAACTACGTCCAAATTTGGATGTCCAACTTACGGTATTAAGTAGCACAAAACGTGATTTGTGATTGAAACTGGCTCAGCCTGTTCAACATCTACTGAGAGCCAATTAACGTCCACTTTACATAGAAGTCGTGCTCGCGAACACCAGATATGAACGGGTCAACAATTATATTCGTGTTCGCCTTGAACGCTGCATGGCCGATGGGGTGGCAGAATATGAATGCCGTTCTTATGGCATCATGCATGCTCGAAGGAACTTGAATAGTCTGCACGCAATTGTCTGCGCATCTTCGCTGACGCGTAGCTCAGACACTAGAAAGTTTTAGGCCTGAAGAAGGGCAGGGCTGTGAGCTGCACTGAATGATCCTAAAAATAGCTATTTCAGTTTAAAATCTCACATAGATGTGGGGCACTCCCTTCAAGATAAGCGTTTTCTGTTTAAGATGGACGCTGGAAATATGCTGATACGCCATTTGGGCTCATAGCCAAGTGGAACTCAAGCGTAAAAGCTAGAGTTGCAGGTAGGCTTTGCGAGCTCATTGTTTGCATCAAGCAAGGTCATCGGTGTTACGTTAATGTTCCACTGCATCCCCAATATTTTAAGGCTTCACCAATGGTCTCAGAGTTCTAAGCTACGCGAGTTTTGACTTATAACGCCCCTGTCTATCCGTAGATCTAACGACTCGATAGGCTCCAAACTTCGCACGCTTGCGTATGTCGCTAACACTACAGCCACCAGTAAGGAGCCTTGTACGCACTGGGACAAACAAGGTGGTAACAGCCATCAGCATGATCGTAATGTAGGATCAAAACCACCATCCGATACAAATAGGCACCATCCGCTTTGAAATTCCGTTTTCCGTGAGAGGTTAGCAGGCAGGTGGAGTGAGTTAACTGTTAAAAGTGAGTTAAGTTAAAATCGCCCCAGCAAAAGAGTGCGGCGGTTTTAGCAATCCCTCCGCCAGATTCGTGGACGAAAACGTAATCAGCAAAACAAAACAAAAATTATTTTCAAGAATAGGAGGCCAAAATGACCAGCAGAGGTTAACACTGAAAGGTTGTGGGTGTCCGAAATTAGATGTCTTTGTCCAACCACACCTTAATTCTGACGCATTGGGCAGAGATCCCCTGATGTGAGCTCTTGTAAAAATGCACCAGACGCGTTGCTTGAAGGTTGGGTGGCCACGGGCTCGGCCAGATCCATCGAGGCGTACCCTATCAACGACGAAAACTACAAACTGAAAATGGGCATTTTGCCAGATCGTCACCGACGGAATCCCAAAAAGGGAGTTGTTGACTGCCTTCTCCCCATTCAGTATCTACGCAGTCACGGACTGGACAGTGTTCAGATCGCTAAGTGATTTGTGGACGGTACGCTCGCCTGCTCCAGGTAGCCAGCTTGCCATGCTGTGGTCTGCTATGGCACCTAAGACCTGACCTGTATTTTTCAAAACGCTCAAAAGCGGGCAGGTCTGCCCGCGAGGGCGCGTGATCGGCTGCGCACACCCTCGCGCAGTTTGTTCGGGGCTCATCGGATGTGGAAAGCCATAATTCACTCATGCTCCACCATTGACTGAAAGTGATGCCTGGACATACGGCTGGTGTGCAAAGGGTTCAAGCTGTATTGCATGACTTTTGCATAGCTGCACATCATGTCCATGGAAACCCATGGTCGTCTCATCAATTAACACACACTCTGCATGCAGCATTGCTGGTGATGCGCGCTTGCCTTAATTGTCAGTTGCTACATAGAGTTTGCAGAATGACTAAGCATAAAAATATGAGCATGCTGGCATTTGCAAGTGCATTTAAAAGGTCCCGACGGCTGACATGTATTATCGAATTAAAACCAGATTAAGGTCCTCTAGCTGCAGCGTTGACCTAGCCCGCTGCCAGCCACTTCCACTGACACTCTGACGACTCCCGCTCTCATGTCCACATGTTCACACGCCCCGCTGGGCCGGACTAGTCTCCGCGCCGCCAGCTCCGCGGTCTTCAGTCGCCCTTGGGGCTCATGACGCCGTGGCAGGCCCGCAGCCACCTCTCCTCGAAGCGCTCCTGGGCGAAGCGGTAGGCTCGCTCCCTGCCAACGGCGAGCTCAGTCAGCGCCTGCTGGAGTCCGGACAGCATTCTCCGCTCCATCATCACCGGCGACTGGTAGCTGTTGCTGTGATGCGTTCCGTGCTCTGCACGCATGGCTGACGTGTTCACAGTACTGTCGACGTTTGCACCTACTTATGAGACACGACATTACACGCAGCGCAAGAGGTCGCTGCGCCGTGGTTACGAAGCATTGTTCTTTCAAAACGTTTCTTTCCATCCAACGCCACAGTAGTAATTTTAAACCCTGCAAAAGTTTAGTGACGGTTGGGCTCTCGTTCCCCACACTCTCGTATCTCGTAAGGCCGTGAACACCACGCAGAGTAATAACAGCGCAGAATCAAAGGTACTGCTAGCGTCACCGGTGTTCAAATCGCCGTCCCAACAAATGTCGTTCATATAGCAATTATTTCTCCGACGCCGTTAGTTGAGATGTTGTTTGTATCCATCGATAAACACATCAATATTGATTCATTATTATTTAAATGACGCTATCCCGAGCTTGCAAATTCAGTGCTAATATCCCGAGCTTGAACTTGAATGTGACATTGTGACTATTAAGGCGTTTACGATTGCACCCGAAAATTAGAGATTGCTCATTTCGGCGACGCGTGTTGTCACTTTGGTCTTGAACTGCGCTGCGTATTGGCGCTATAGTATTGAACCGCGCTGCGTATTGTCACTCTGGTCCTGAACTGCGTCGCGTATTATCACTCTGGTCCTGAACTGCGTCGTGCATTGTCGCTCTGGTCCTGAACTGCAAGCCTGTCCGGAAATGAGTCCATCGGTGAATTGCGCCATGCAGTGTTGTAAGGGTAAGATGGGCCTCAAATGTAAGAACTTGAAATGAAACGAAGGCCAATTGTTAAAAGATGAGGCTAACTTTCATTCGAAATAACATTTCTTACAACTATGTTATAAAGCTGAAGGCCTGCTAAAAGCGTTGAGCTGTGCCTTGATCAGGTACCCACTCAAATATCTTAAGCATCGCAAAAGTCCCTAAATTTTGTAAAGACTTTGCTCGGTTTGCTCGCATCTTAACACTTGTGATATTTACATGCAGTAAAATAACACAAGATGTAACACAACACCTACGTCCACCCGGCTGCAACATAAGCACCCTCAACGCAGTTTGATGGGGCGCTGCCGTAATCAGCGGTCGGGTAGCGTGCAGCCGCACCTGGCCGCTGTCGGCAGCCTCATCCTCGTCGCCTCGCTGACGGCCAGCTGGCGGCCCTCACCTGGCCACTATGCGCAGTCTCATCCGCGCCGCCTCGCTGGCGGCCAGCACGCGTCGCATGCACTCGGCGTATTGAACTGGCTCGTCGGCCAGCAGGCCGGCCGGCTCAGCGTCGTCGTCGTTGTTGATGAGGTCGGCGGCCGGAGCGCCCGAGGAGCGCGCGATCACTATCAGCCCGGCGGCCATCATCTCCGCCACGGCTGCCGGCGGCCGGCGGCATCAGACCAGGGCTCGGCGCGAGCGGAAGCTGCGCTCGGCGCCCTCCGAAGACCGGTGCCGCTTGTGCCGCGTGTGGACAGCGGCGTGCGGAGGAGGTAGCGGTGATCCGAGAGCATGAGACGGGAACTTGCGCAAATTGTAGGTGCACTAGAATTTAGTGCCTTTACAGGGTTATTTGCGGACGCTTTTGATCCATTCGCTCGAGTATTTTATCATGTGCAATGGCTGGGATACGTTCTCGAGACAAGCCCATCCGACATAAACCGTAAGAACTGTGGCTCGCTGTTGCAGAAAACGAAAAACAGGAAAATAGAGTAGGCTTATCGGCCAGCAATTATGAATTTACTTCTGCTATTCGTTTCGAAAAAAAGCATGTTGCCGAAATATCGACGCATCTATATATTAATTCTCTTGGCTTCTTCTACGAGGAATAACGCCATTACCACTGCACGTGCTTAATGTTCCTCGCAATTACACTTAACAACAAGCAGGCTGAAGTCCAATATCAAGGCATCAGTGCCCTTCCCCCGAACGATCAACCCCTCGCGCTCAAATGTCGGGCTGCCTGAGCGTATGTGGCTCCTCCGTAGTGTTCCCACCCCTCGGTCAATCCCCGCCCCGTACTCACCGATGCCGAAGCCCTCGCGGCCCGCCGTGTGGATGCCGACGCTGGCCCGCGCCAGCACCTGCGACAGCTGCTCGAAGCTGAGGTTGAGACGGAACTGGAGCCGGTCCTGAATCTCGAGCTGCTCGCCGAGCCGGCGCAGCTGCTGCACCAGCTCCAGGTCGGCCGAGCCGCGGCAGCCGCCGATCAGCACCAGCCGCGCCCCCTCCGCCAGGGCGCCGAACTTGAGCACGAACAGCGCGAAGCTGCGCAGCTGCCGCACGCCCGTTAGAGGCGTTCAGATCGAGGTCGTGTGCAACATAACTGCTGCACCGCCGCCCCATCCCCAGTGCGTGGACGCATTGTGACATCTCTCGCGTGCATATCACTGCCGTTGCATTCACTCATGTGCGGCCAGCTTCTTTTCCTCCCCCTCACTGACGTGCAGCCCCAGCACGTCCTTCCGTTCAATAGCCTGCAGCTCCAGCCCTCCCTCCCATTCACTAGCCTGCAGCTCCAGCCCTCTCTCCATTTCACTAGCCCTCAGCTCCAGCCCTCCCTCCCGTTCACTAGCCTGCAGCCCCAGCCCTCCCTCCCGCTCACTGACCTGCAGCTTGTGCTCCTTCTCGGGCCTGAAGTGCGCTATCGACACGATTGTCTTGTCGCGACGGCCGTCCAGAGGCATCTCACCCAGCCGCCACGTGTCACACGGCGGGTACACTACGCGCACGGCGTCAGGTCGGCGCCAGGCTCGCGCCACTTGCCGCTGCGTCCACGTGCTGTTAGCGATGACTAGGTGCGCGGAGGCGCCGGCCCGCCGGTGCAGCTCGTCAAAGAGCCGGTGGAAGACGAGGCCGGCGTAGAAGACCAGCCGGCGACAGAGGCGGCAGAGGCAGGAGCCGCGTGTCAGGCGGCTGGTTTCCCACAGATGCAGCTGGCCGGCTGTCGGAAACGGCTGGTGCACGTAGCAGGTCACGCCGCAGCCCAGCAGACGGAACACGGGCAGCACCAGCACCAGCTCCGACGAGTTGACCAGCACGTCTGCGGGATGAGTGGACGGGGAAGGCGAGGTGAGACGAACAGCGGGACAAACGGCGTCCACGTGTCAGCGCCACCGAGGCAGGTTTTCAGTGCTGAGGCGCCTCCTGCTCCAGCCACAACTTAGTTGTTCTCGTAAATCGGAACTTATTAGCTCATTACTGGCCCAGCAACTGAGGTTTTGACAGAGTAAGGTGTCATATCATTATCTATCAACCAGCTGTTTAGCAAGGTATTAAGTGATCACCGGCGGCCACCCAGTCAGATATATAATTTTCATATGAGGGTTGCGCTGTTGCATCGTCATGTTGACTGGCTGACTTGTCCAAGGTTTGTTTTATTCTGCTTGCAACGATTGATTCTTTATGATACTCCTTATGACGCAAATAGTTGTGTTGATTTTTTACAAAGCAATATCCTTTTCTTCTTCAATGTATGGAGTGGGCTAATTATCCGCTTCGTTTGAGGAAGTGGCTCATGTGGGCTGCTCATTAAACATAAGTATTCATAGCAACGTATCCACTCTTATGGTTCCGTTATCATTAAACCCTTGTCCAGTAGGACAATCCAGTCAACTACCGGCTGTTGTACCGCAGCAGTCCGTCCGGTCCCGCGGTGCCCCTCCCCCCCCCCCCCCCCGCCTGACCTGGCAGCAGCCCGGCAGATTGCCTCCAAGCTGACCAGCACGGCGGCCAGCTGGCGGCCCAGCTGCGGCAGCAGCAGCTGCTGGCGATCGGCCAGCAGCCAGGCCAGCCGCAGACGCACCAGCTTCAAGCTGGGCCGGTACGCACAGGCCGAACGTGCGCCAGACGCGCGGCGCCACCTCACGCAGCGGCTCCTCCTCGCCCGTGAACACGTACAGACGGTGCTGTGGGGTACCTGCCGGAGCCGCTCGCGGCAGGCGACATTTATGTACTTTTAGCACAGGCAAAATCAATATTACAACACGCCGAAGATGAGGAATTTGAACACTTCCGCTCTTATATTAACTTTGCCCCCGCAGATGGCCTTTTGTCGGTAGACGCATCTTCAATGTCGCCGGCTGACAAAGCCAGTCGGAGGCGAGCTGGGAGTCAGAAGCCTCCGCGGCCGCGTGGCTCGCGCTGTGCTGTCTCACCTGCGCTCGAGCGCGCGGAGCGCCGACCAGAGCACCCGCTCTCGTCCGTCCCCGACGTTCAACCACGGGTGGAAGAAGGCCACATGACGGCCGTTCTCCGGCAACCAGGCGCGTTTCCGGCCAAGGAGCTGCCGGCACCGGCGGGTCACGGGGGTCACACCGAGTTCACCGGGGCCACACTGAGGCTGCCGAGGTCACATGGTCAAGCGCCGGCACAGGGACAGGTCAGGTAGGCGTCACGTGGGTCGTATGGATGGTTCAGCTCGGGATTACGTGACGGCAAGGAACTGTTCGCTTCTTTCCTCTCAGGTCAGGGTTGCCCCGGTGACAAGGAACTGCTCACTTCAGAGTCAAGCTCTGAATGAAACGCTGCCAAATGTGGCAGGTTAGGTAGGCTGGGCAATGTCAACTGGAAACGGCTACCGGTGGTTCCTCTGGTTCACTACCTTCCAAAGCCAGCTTGCGGCGAAGATATGAAACGGATCACGGGCGAAAGTGCTACTAAATTGCATTATGTCACATGTTGGACATAGAAAAGCCACCCAAAAACTTGTCGATTAATAACAGCCCATCAAGTGTGTATCTGACTCAGAGTGATTGTCTTTGGAGGCAATGAATGTGTTTTGCTCCTATACAGACCGTTTCCTGTTCAAACGACTAAAACACGGCGCTCCTTGGGACCTTTCACACGACACCACAAACACGACATCACAGTGTGCGGTTTGCTTGATCATTACAATAAGCACTAGCCTGCATAGCTACAGAACTTGCTTGCAGATAAACGCACACTTGGGTATTCCGGGGCGCGCTAATTGTCAAGGTCATTTGCGAAACGGGTGCTTGTTGTCATCGTCCCGCTAGAACATAGGCTCCAGCTTCAAATAGGCGATTGCCACATCGAAATACTTACCGTACTGAGGAGTGATAGGTAGATGACAACAGGGATGATCCCATGCAGAGTATACAGAATGTTACCCAGGACAGCAAGGTGGCGATGATTCGCGCAGTCACTTCTCGTCGCATCTGAAAATGCCAGCGCGATATAAATCGGATTTGGCCGGAGCGATGAGCACCTGAGAATCGGATTTACCCGGAGCGATAAGCACTGTGCGAATCGGATTGGCCCGAGCGATAAACCCGTGAGAATGGCTTTGCTTGGGCCGTACCTTTGGGGGATGGAAAATATTTTGTTAATAGGCCGGTTCAGCATAGTGCGTACCTGCGTAGGCATTGCACACGTGTGCGTCGTTTGAACCATTATAAAGATCTCCAACTTTTTTAACACCGCATGAGACATGACGAAAACAAGTTATTGTTTTTAAAAAAAAAAATCTGTTTAAGTTCTTCGGACCCGAAAACTGTCGCTGAACAAACATAACCATCACTCCGGTGCACGAATACTGAGCACGCAGCCCGTCGTTATGTAATAAATAACGGAAGGCCCCCGGGGACGTCCACCGGAAAGGGCTCCGGCCAAAGGACTTCGCCCTTCAATCTAAGACGAAACATAATACACTTATGAGAATATTTACGATTAATAGGGGTAGTTAGTTGCAGACCAGGCGGGCCCGCTCCTCTCCGCCCGACGGCCGTCTCCAGCCTGCCGGCCAGCCTCTCAGCACGAGTCACTGTCCTGGGTCAGCGCCCGTCCTCGCCGCTGCGGGCTGACCGACCGTTTCCACCGAGATCCCGCGTCAGACGCCGTGGGTCAGACGCCGTGTCAAGGCCACACGTCAAAGCCACGTGGTCACGGTGCGATTCCAAAGCCAGAGCCGCGGTCGCCCGTGGCGGGCGGACCGGTGCGGGTCAGTTGGTCAGCGGCGGCTTCTGTGATGCAGTTTGAAGGCTTGCATGTTGTCATTTTGTTCACAGGCACGGAATCTAAGTTCATTTCATTATAGGTAAGTCAAGCCTTTTATAGCAGAGTTGCAGTGATGAGTCGACTATTTGTACATTGTCGAGCTAAAAAACATGGTTAAGGCCGTATTTTTTTCAATTTTGTCGGGTAATAGAGTGCTTCCATTGCAATGCTCTAATAGATAAACGTTTGAAGATCACTACGTAAAGCTGTCGGCCTGATATCGCAAAGCTTAAGCGATTCATTGTCCGTGCTTTGTGATTGGTACCAAAACGGAAGGTGAAGCCGAGCCGGCGACGATTACATGCGACGATCATGCAATTATATGTTTATTATGTGCAATTGAATGACGGGGAACAACGTTGCGCCGTCGTTT